GCAACTGGCACCTTACGGTTCTTAAAATAAACTTTTGAATAGTTGCTTTCTCTACGAATTTAAAATGAAGATTGATTTATTTGACTTTTACAACAAAACAAACAAAAACTGCAGCCCTACGATACCTGTTAACTAAATGAGATGACAGCAGAACTGGTTGTTAAGTTCCATCCCGTTAAACTTTACTATTAATGTGTTTAACAGCAACAAAGCTAACAGGCTAGCCAACACTAGTTTAGGTAGCTAACATTAGCAGGCTAGGTGCTTGTCACTTTGAGTTAGCTTAGCTAGCTTAACGTCAGCTTGCTAACTGGCTACTCTAAAAACAACCAAAGTAACAGAGCGTTTAAACTGAAAAATACACAGTGGTTTAGCTACCAGTAACACTGGCCCTCTTTGCCTCCGTTTATCCACTGTCAGCTGTGTGTTTTCACGGCTCAGTTTATGCTCCGATTGCAGGCAGTGGCAGTAGCAGCAGATAGACCAATAGCGACAATCTGCGGGTGCTAAAGGCTAACGATGTGCTACGTATTTAAACGAAAGAAAGCAAGGGAGGTAAAAAGCTCCATCTGACGGAGTTTAATTTACATAGGGCAATTTTAACATAAGAACAAAAATAAGTAAAATAATCTCACCGCATCAATTTCCCTTCGCTTCGTTAGATCCAAGATGGCTGTGAGTATTCTCAATCGAAAGAGGTCTAGCCTTTACCCCCTGACCTTACAACCTGCTGATCACTTCCGTACACAAAAACGAACACATCTGATAGTTTCCCTAACAGGGTGCTGGGAGAAGAACCAACAGATATCCAGAAAAGTACTTCACGGAGGGGGAAAGAAAAAAGAAGATTTTGCAGTCATTTAAAGCAAATATGACACTGTCGAGTTTTTGTCTCCCTCGTGTGAACATCAGGTGTTTCACTCCAGTAAAATAAATGTGTGGATTTACATACTGCAGAGGATGTGATTGTCAGCAATAAAAGTTGGGTTACCAACCACATTTGACACATATCTCATAGAGTATCCCAAATCTCACAGGTTTCTCTGCAAAAACATGAACTTTACGTGTTGACAAGGGTCTTATGTCACAACTGGGTTTTTGGTTGTTTTTTACTTAACATTTTCTCTTTTTTGTTTGTTTGTTTTCTTTTCTACATTTAATCAAATTAGCAGACAACAAACTGGGAGCTATATCTGTTCATATCTTACATAAAATGAGTAGTTGAGAAAAGCCTGGTAGTCAGAGGTATTTTAAAGTGGACCTGCAGGAGCTAACACTGTTCACAGTGGCATGAATTACTCAGTGAGGTTGGAAAACAGCAGCTTCACATGAATTTAATATGGCCTGGAAACTTAAAACCACATTGTATGGACTTCCTCAGCAGATGGCGTCTTAAGGCTGTTATAATGATCCTTTATCAGTTAGACTTAAAGTGTTTGGCAAACCATCAATCATCATTATTTACATAGCTGAAAGCTTTGGGAACAACAAGTAAGCCTAGTGTAAGGGGGGAAAGTTAATTGGTTTTACATTAGAAAAGGCAGGTATAAAATTAATGATGTTTCCATTCCAGTTACTTCACCCTGGAACGATATATTATATCTGTGCTTCCCTTCCTGTGAGATATCCAGATTTTTAATATGAACGGGGTCTTTTATGACAGTCACACCATTGTGCTCTGGCAGTAAGTGGCTGCGGGAAAGTGATAAAAACAGTGTGTCAGTGAGTGAAAGCAGATGAGGGTCAACTATTGCCCCCTCAGATAAGGACAATGAAATCCCTTCCTAATTTTATCTAGTTGGAAAATAGCCCCAATGAAGATATGTCAGATAGCATGGACACTTCACACCTCTTGTAAGATATCCAGCTTACTTACAGGATATTCATCTTTGAGTATAAGCTCTTGTTTGGATTTGGAGGATTTGACTTGCTATGTGTTGATTTTAAATGAAACCATTTCCAAGACTATACAATGTGGCATTGGCAAAACACAGATCTACAGAGATTTTCCATAGTATACTGTAATCAAAGTAATCTGATATCCCTGCAAACACTGGCAAATTGCTAAGAACATTTCACCTGTTGAGCCCAGTGGCTTCCACCCAAGACTGCATCTGGGATGATTACAGCAGAATGCAAATGACCTTTGTTGCTCTTTCATCACAAAGCACTTATTCTGCTTATCCATGTCACCCCGCCCCTCCCTGTTTCTCTCTCTCCCACCTCTGTCATCTCAGAGAAGAAGAGGGGAAAGTCATTAGGCACAAATGGGGAGGAGAGAGCTAGTGGTTGCTATAGCCATGAGAGTCTGAGCAGAGCTTGGAGCCACAGAGAGATAGTGAGAGGACTGCACTGGGAAATATCTGCCCAGGGAATACAATAAGTTTTCAGCTCATTAAGTTGGATAAACAAATGGCTTACTGTAGGAGATACTGGGAGTCATACTGGATATCATCAGCAAGACATTAGAAAGAAGGTATTTTGAATTTTTTGTATGAACATCTTAACACTTACAATGTTTTTCTGTTTAATTTTATTATATATTACCTTGACACAACACCCCCTTTATTCCATTAAAGGATGCACTTCATAATATAACTGATGTGTCATCCTCTTTCCTAAGCTGTTGTATGATTTCACTGTTTCATTTTTTCTTGATTATCAAGATGAATAAACGCAGAGGGGAGGTGGAGGAGTGTTAATGGAACGCCATGAAATTCACTTGAAGATAAAGGAGATGGATGTCGAGTAAGTCTTGTGGCAGAAACAGTAAGAAAAATGGGCAATGCCATGAGAAGTATTCTCGCCTTCATTCCTTCTGAACGCTGCCAGCGCTTCTTAGTTGGGGACCTGAAGGAGATGCCGCTAGATCGGACCCTGGACCTGAGTAGCCGACAGCTGCGAAAGCTGCCTGTTGCTGCCTGTCTCTTCAATGAGTTGGTGAAGCTTTACCTGAGTGACAACAACCTCAGCAGCTTACCGGCTGAAGTGCAGAGCCTGAGAAAGCTGCAGCTTCTGGCCCTCGATTTTAACTGCTTCGAGGAGCTCCCACTAGCCATATGCAGGTTGCCCCAGCTTAGTATTCTTTACTTGGGTAATAACAGGCTTTATCACCTCCCCGTAGAGCTGAGAGAGCTTAGGGAACTTAGCACTCTGTGGCTGGAGACTAATTGCTTCACTGTTTTCCCTAAGGTTGTTTGTGAGCTCTCAAATCTAAAGACCCTGCACCTCGGATATAACCAGATACGGAGTTTACCCAAAGAATTTGGACGGCTGCACGAGCTGCGAAGTATTTGGCTTGCTGGGAACCAACTGCCAGATTTCCCACCAGAGTTGCTTGAAATGCACTCTCTGGCTGTTGTTGATGTAGATCGGAACAGAATACGTCATTTTCCTAGCCTTTGTCACATGCAGGGGTTAAAACTTGTGATCTATGACCACAACCCCTGTGTTAATGCCCCAGCAGTGGCTGAGGGAGTCAGAAGGGTTGGGCGCTGGGCTGATAGCTCAGATGACGAGCAGGAAGATGATGCTTCAAAAGCAGCAAGTGAGACTACAGCTGAGGTGGTCGAAGTCCATTCTGAAGAGCAACAGAACATTCAAGGTTAAGGACCAAAGTGACCTTCAGCTGTGGGGAGGCGGGATTGACTGGCCAGGCTCGAGTGGCGTCCTGGAGCACTTAAAGCTGAGTGGCATGACAAATACTGTCAGGGTGATGGTATTTGGTCCATATATGGTAAAGCCAATCATTTAAAAGGGAAAGTTCACCTCTGAAATCAAATCTACACACACACAAACACCCTAAACTGGCCTGCTGTGCTACTTGTCTATCAGATTGTTTGGTGAGAGTTGGCCAGTTTTAGATATACTAGTTATGTTTGCATTTACATATCTTAGAATTATGACTTTATTTTGGATCGAACTGTCCTTATAAAGGCCATAAAGTAATGAAATCCAAAATGCATAGTCTGTAAAATGGGATATTTGAATCACGACATAAAAGCAATATTTAAAAGAACAAAATAAAAAGACTGCATGCCTTGAAATGATTCATTTCAACACCGTAAACTTTTTAATTGATCTTTTTCCTCTGGAATGTTGCATGTATTATATTGTTTGTGTATTGCCAAGTTCACATAGTATGTTTGCAAGGCAATGTGTCAAAACAGGCATTAACATTATTCTAGTAAATCAGCCATGCAGCTGTTGCTGTCCAGTGATCTGAGAATTAGTTTCTACTTTTCTACTTTTATAGTCAGTATAATTCACAGTTTATGACTTCTGATTTTACAATGCAAAGAATTAGAAAACATTTTGTTCCAGCAGTGCAAGATAGTATCTGCACCTGCTGAGGATTTTAATACCAGAGATGGATGGTTTAAGTCAATTAGTGCACTCTGTATCCAGACCAATGCATAATTCATCGACTAGATTGGAGCTGTGGCTTTGAATAAAGACTGCTAATGGGCCATAATGTCGTTGCTGTAAGGTTCTGGTTTGAAACAGATCATACATGCAATTTTGCAATTCCCCTGTGTACCAGGAAAATGTTCTGTAAACAAGCTTAAAAGTAATTCCACGATATATGATCTGGGCATTTGGAAACTTTCTAAACAAAATGCATATAAAAAAAAAAAAGATTGAAAGGGCTTGAAATTGTTTTTTCTTCTGGAAATGTGATTATTTACGACTGATTTTCTGTGCTTCCAGCTTTCATAGATCTTTATATTATTCTATAATATGTATTTGATTTTTTAAATATATGAATGCATAATATTTTATCTAAATGTATACTTATATTACGTTATAGTATTTATTATGATTTCAGGCAATCTTTTACATTTGTATGGTCCTATTATAAACTACATATATATCAATCTGATTTTGTTATGTTTTATGTGCTTAACATTATGTTTTAATGTAACAATGGAATAAACTTATTTAATCTTATATTAAACACAACACCTATTTTTTTTTTTAAATCAGTATAGTTAAATTTGAAGGTTTGTGAATGTATAAACATCTTTATGTTTAGTCATTCAAAAGCATTCACCAGAGTTTTGGTACGTTTTTACCTTTATAACAAAATCAGACGTCATGTGAAGTTGCAGGATTTTTTTTCAAACCAACAGCTGTAATGTTATTTAATCTATGCTTAAGTGTGACACATACCTATATATAGATTTCATGCTTAATACAAGCCAACAGCATCAATGTTAACCCTTTAAGTATCTGTAGATCACAACTTATTACAAACCATTTGAGTTTGCATTGCTGCTCTCTCTGCACCTTAACAACTGTGTTAAGTCGCATAGATTCAACAAGATGCTGGAAACATTCCTCTGAGCTTTTGTTCTATGCTGACATGATAGCATCACATGATAAAGTCTCCTGTAGCGCCACATGTCAAAGGTGCTATGGGATTGAGATCTGATAAGTGTGTAATTCACTGTCATTTTGAAGAAACGAGTTTGGGCTTTGTGACATGGCACGCTACCCTGTTGGAACTAGCCATCAGAAGTTGCTTAGAATTTCCAGTAAATTATCTGTACAAGAGATTGGAACAAAAAGAAGTAAACATATTTTTGTTTAAAATGTTAAAAACCTAGTATTCGGGACATGTTTACTGGAGATACAAGTTAACTTCTCTTGTCGATGATTTTACATTTCTCAAATGTATATGTAATGTAAATTTGTTATTAAGTAATTTACTGTAAGACTGCAAGACAGTCATCAGATTTCTCTATAGGAATTAAAAATTCAGTTGGTAGCTAGAGTTGCTTTATTATGGTGACAATAAAGAAGTTAACTGTGTTTAATTTGTTTAACACATAACATCTACTCGTATTTTCTCAGGATACAAGATGAGAGATTATGAGTGCATTATATTACATACATTAATATCTTTGGTTCAAAGTCCAATGAAAACACAAGTTGCCCACTTCCTTTACTTAAACTTACTTGGATCCAAAGCACCCCTGAAGTGCAGGTTAAACACATGGAGGCTGAGCCACATACTAACATCGGCTTCAATTCTACAGTAACTTTACTATTCCTCTTATTCTCCATAGTCATTAATGATAAATAAAGAAAGTTTCACATGTATCAATAAACTTATATTACTTAAAAGACCCATCTAAAATGTTCTGGTGCTTGGTCGTGATGAAAACTAAATAAATAATATTTTTTAACAAACAGCAGAACGCAAACTGCACTTAATAATAAAGACCTCATAGAATGAACCACAACTGTATAAAAGAGTCAACTTTTAACTAAATATGCCACACTAGGTAAGTCATATGGTACACTGAAAAAGAACATGTATTATAATATTAAAACAAACAAACACACAAAACATCATTTTTTTAGATCCCTCAGGCTGGGCTCTTTGCACATTTTACCATAGCTGTCTTTTTACACCAAAATTTCCAAATCTAATTGGTCTCTTACTGACCCTTTGAGAAAATGCATCAGTCTTTTGCAGTTTTGTTTCAATTGCAAAGCATTTACTTTCAAAAGTGGCTTCATATTTAATGATGTTTGAACTGAGAAGTAAGGGTAACACATGAGGAGATTGAACTGACTTAAAAGGGTGTGTTAAGCTGTTGGCATTACGTGACGATAGAGAATACTGTAGACAAGCCAGATCTGGAATGTAGCACCTCTTGATGTGGGAAAGGATAAACTCAAATGTAACAAAGACAAGAATTGTAAGTCCAGAAGAAAGAAATAAGCAGCACTAAAAGTTACAAAAAAAACCCTCTTGTCAAAATGAGAAGTGTTCCAGCTAAAACAACGTGGCTAGTACTGATTACAGTCATGCATGTGAATTTGATCAAATTGGAACAGTAGGTAAGCTTCAATGTATCACAATCTGCCAAATCACATTCAAACTGCTAAAGAGTGATAATGGAATATATAAGCATATCCTACAGGTACTGTAACTGTGTGAGGTGACAGGGTTCAAAGGCTCATCCAGGGTCCAGGTCTCTGCCGGAGTACTGTTTCACCCAGCTGAGGTGGAGAATTCTCTTCCACCTCTGGCCCATCAGACTCACGAGACTCCTCTTCCTTGCTATCTGGAACATCAGGCCCCAAGGAATCTGGGATTACAGAGGCATTCTTTGACAGCTCAGTGCCTGTGCCAGTCTCCTGAAAATCAGATGACTCACTCACAGATCCAGTCACTTTAGAAGAATTAAGTTCCTTCTGAGAGTTTTCCCTCTCCATGCGCTTTCGGACCTCCTCTCTCCTCTGCTGGATGCGGGTGTCGTCTCCCATCATAACCCTGACTCTCACTTGATCTGGAGGCCAGAGTCCGCCCCATATAAACTGCAGGTAGCTGAACAGCACAATGACACTGAGGAAGGCAAAGTTGGTCGCTACGCCAATCACTGCAGATGTCAGGGGGAAGTTATACAGAACATATCGAATACCAGTGAAGTAAGCATGGATACGGAGCTGAGATGAGTAGATCTGAACCTGTTTTGAGTGGATCTCAATGACTGCACCAATAGTGGGTTGATAAGCATTGGTCTTGTAGTCTGAGAATAGCTCCACCTCTATGAGCTGCTTCTGCTCCGCCATGCCAGTGACGAGAAGAGGAGCGAACACTAAGGTACTCATAGTCTGCAGAAGCTTAGAGCGGTAATGCAGCATTGTAGATCTTCCAACTGATGAGACAGTCGTTCCACCCTTGGTATAACAAGACATCTTTACCATGAACATACCCAGCTCTTCATTCACTGGCGATTCAGGCATTTCCAACTCCAAAGATATTCGGTAAGGCTGACCATTGGCCATCACCTGATCTCTGCCATGCTTCATGAAAGAGATGTTGGCTGCGGGGAAGGAGCAAAGTCTCGACTCCGAGGTATCACAGTCAGCAGTGTAGAAGAAGTGCACTGGGGTGGAGAAGCTCACGGTAGGCATATAAGAGTAATAAAAGCTCCCATAGAGAAAGATGGACACCCAGAGCAGCAGCACTAGGACACAAAAAAGGATGGCTGCCTGAAGCAGTGTCCGTCGGGCTTTGAGGAGCGTGACAGCTGCCACATCGTGCAGCCAGTGCAGAAGTGGTCCCATGGCACCTCCTAATGTTTCCGATCCGGAACTCACCGACCTTCTTCTGGTCCCGTTCTGGACAGTCGTTGCTCCTTGGAGTCCCGTGGACTGCTGCCTCAGCGGAAGGTCCCTACCTTGATGCATCAGTGGGTGGGTCTCTTCCATAACCGTGTAATCGCTTATCTTCACTCTCCATTTCAAGTCTGGTTAACCGGCTACACGCTAATCGTGATAGTTGCAGCTACCGTCACGGGCGAAATAAACTACTCGGCAAACACAAATATCCTGCTTTTCTAAAGTCTGGACTGTGTTGGTTTCACTCAGACTGTGAATTTAAGATAGCAAATTAGCCTACCGGGTTACACAGTGAATTTCCGGAGACTATGCGTGACCCGGAAATGAAAAGCTTTTGTGCCAGCTCGAAGCAGCAACGTAGAAAAAAAGCAGTAATTAACGTCGCCAGCGAAGGAAGCAGGCCTACAAACACATAAACAGAGATGGGGAAGAAAAGTCGCCTCCCTGGAGGAGCCGTCGGTCGGAGAACTATATTGCAGCTTTCCCCACCCGGGAACCGCGGCGTGAATGTTGGAGAGAGAGAAGAAGCGCCCTCGGGATCTGATGGTATTTTATCTCAGTAGCATGTTAGCGGCAGGCTAGCCTAGTGCTAAATACCTGAGGTGCGAACAACGGGCTCATCTGATTATTATTATTAATTACAATAATACTGTTATTTTTATATTTAGCTGTCCAGTTACTTAACATATGCTGCAAATATACACAGTCGCTGAGAAACTGCAGGTGAGAGCTGTAGTTATTATGAATTATTTTTCTAATTTTAGCTTCTACCAGAAGCTATAGGCTAGTGCGCTAAGCTAACAGTTCGGGGAACATCATCACTTTACCTTACAAAATATGTTAGAAGATAGGATATGATCAGCTAGCCAAAAATAAATGGGGGAGTGATCTGTGGGATCGATACCCTTTATACCGATTTATACATCGATACCGATGCTTTTTATTTAGTCTATGAATACCTGTAATGTTAAAAGCGACAATACTTTACTACAAAACTTTGTTTTTTTTCCCCAGATGAACAGGATGGGGATGGGCATAGATTCGTGAGACGCACAAACATCAAGGCTCCAGCAGTAAAAGCTACAGGTGAAGTGTTTTTCTCTCCCTCTCTCTTTTCGTGTGTGTTGCTGCAGTCATTCTCAAGCAGCAGATTCAAGACTTTATTTCATTTCGCTGAACAAAGCTTTTTTGCTTTCACTTGTAGAGGGGTTGTCTTTGCTCGGAGCCTATGAGGATAGCGATGAAGAGGATGCGGGAGATTCTCATCGTTCAGCCGCAAATTCTCAACACAATCAGTCAGGTGACATCGACAGCACACTGGCCAATTTCATGGCTGTAAGTATGATGACGATACTGTAAGCCAGTCTCTTATTATTTATGTTGAGCTAATAAAGATGTAGATTAATGACAAGTAGGTTAAAGTCAACTTCTACTTTATAACTTCATAAAATTGTTTGTTTTTTCCTGATTTTTTTCAAATAACTTATGCAGATTTTATACTCTTTGAGCTCCTTATTCATTATTAAATCATATACTCTATGTAAAGCCTAGTGCTTTGACCTGTGTGGTTTATTCACGCAACTAAAAACTTGCCGTCTGTGTTTTCTGGTTGCAGGAAATTGATGCAATCACAACTCAGCCAAGTTCAGATGATGCACCAACTCCAGTTCCAAGTGCTACTCCACCCAAACCTGAGGTTAATACTCAGCAGCCAGCTGCTGGTGAAGGACAGAATCAGCAAGGCACAGACTTTGAGTACAATACACAGTACTCACTAGCCGGCGGTAATTATCTCTGCTGCATTAAAATATCAAGTGTGCATGTCCTTAGTGAACTGATTTATATTTCTTCACCAAAAATAATTTGTATAATAATGTATTTATATTCATATGAAAAGAAAACTGTATTTTTCTAATGTTATATTCTTGATTAAATAAAGTATTTAATGATGTGCTACATTGATTATATAAAGAGATCAATCATGCAGTGGTTACTTTCAAAAGGGACAGTTTGATATTGATGTCTACTAACCATTAAACGCAGATGTTTTTGTTTGTTTTGTTTTTTGTTTTTTGTTAATATCTTCTTTGCTCTAACTGAGAACACTGGAGTTTTTTTGTCTTATTTTGTTTGTTTGTGACAAGGACAATTTTTGAGATATTGTTTTGGGGTTTTTTAAAGTCCTATATATTTGCTTGTATTTCAGTGGGTGTAGAGATGGGAGACTGGCAGGAGGTGTGGGACGAGAACTCTGGTTGCTATTATTACTGGAACACACTGACCAATGAAGTGTCCTGGGAGCTGCCACACTATCTAGCTGATCAGGTGCAAAGCCTGGGACATTATACCAACAGGTAGGAGACATTAAGAGTATTAAACAAAGTGTTTGAAGATTATGTTTATTTCTGACACCTGATAATTGTGGGTATTCTGCTTTTATTTATAGCTCGAGTGTCAATGGAAATGGCACAGCTCATGCAGGTTATTGCACAGAAGAAAATGCTGTATCTGCTGCCACAACAACATCAGCAAAAGAGACAAAAGTGAAGGCATGTTCCATCTGTCCCCAATTCAGCTATTCAGCTAGTTTCTGTTTTGTTTAAATACTCTCACTTTGATACTAAATATGACTTGCACTGTGTTTTTCTTTAAAGGAGGTAATTGAAAGCGTTGTAGGCCTCACAAGTGAAGAGGAAGAGCGCCAGGGAGTTGCTGCAGCACTCCTCGCTCCTCTGATCCCCTCTGAAGTGAAGGAAGCAGAAGAGAAATGGAGGAAAAGACTGCTTAAAGGCCTGGATGAGAGTGAGAATAGCTTGGATTCTGACGGAGATGGCAATCGTCTTACAGGATCTCCTTCTACCCCTCTGAGGGACTCCGACTCAGCTCCCATTGTCCAGAAAGATGGATGCACCAAGAAGCAATCTGGAGACAACTCCGAAGGTGAGGAAGAGGCAGAAGAGGACACCATGGAGTTAGAACTGGCTCTGGAAAGGAAAAAGGTGTGTATTTAATGCAGCTCAGGAATATCTTTGAAACTTTCTTTTGGCACACAGAATAATCAAACACCTGACTCTTAGGCTGAGCTACGAGCACTGGAGGAGGGTGATGTCAGTGCTGGGGGCTCCAGTCCTTGTTCTGAGAATAGCCAAGAAGCCTCGGGTCCTCGTGGTGTCCTGCTGAAGAAGAACCGGTGGAAGACTTCTTTCCTCAGTGCTGCCAGCCCCGACTCTAACAGTATAAGCTCAGATATACCGGATAACACAGAGACCGGTTAGTTTAAACATTAACACATGAGAGAAGTGGGTGGAATAACATAAAAAAAAATTCTATCTACATAATTTTATGCCTCTCTTGTTTCTTGTAGCACTTCCTAAAGTCTTAGAAAGTGTTGAGGAAGGAGAAGACAATGAAGTGGAAACTTCTGAGGACAAAATGGGTTCAAAACCTTCCGTGAAGGAGGAGGGGGAGACATCTGAGCTCAAAGAAGAAACTCCTGAGCTCAAGGTAACAACACTACTACTATTACTAACAAGCAGTAATTGTGCACTCTCTTTTGAGAAGTATTTTAATGATAAAAAATGTAGTTTCAGATCGGTGAACTGGCAAACACCTTAATAAGCAAGATGGAGTTTCTTGGGATAAATAAGAAAGGGATCTCAAACTTTCAGCTGCTTCTGCTACAAACTGAGGTGCGTGGATATTCATTTTCTAAGCAATGTCATCCTAACTTCCATTTGCTGCTTTTCTAATGCGACTTTTAAAATATTTAACATTTAATTTTGTTTCACATAATTTTGCACAGGCACGCGGTAGTGTTTAATATTTAAAATCGTCATAATAATTCATCATAAGGTGTCATTCTGGAAACTTACTGTAATTACTCTTCCATATTACTCATCTATCCTGCAGCTCTTCTGTCTTTATCTGTCTCTTGAGCCCTTTAGTTATATTTTATGGGCTTTTGTCTAATTTTTGTCTCTGTCTTTCTTTTTTTGTTCTTTATTTCATTTTTTTCCCCCAGACACGGGTTGCTGATTGGAGGGAGGGCGCGCTGAATGGAGTCTATCTTCGCCGCCGGCTGCAGGAAGCTGCCGAACACATAAAATATTACGAACTTAACGCCACCCCTAAAGGCTGGTCCTGCCACTGGGACAGGTACGCGCTCCTTACCTTTCACATCTCTAAACTCCCCCGCCCCCCAAAAATCTTACCGTGTGACTACACATCCCTCAGTGCTGAGGTTGCAGACTTTGTAACATGACTTGGGGAGAAGCTTAACCAGTCCGAGTGGATCAAAATACTTACCAGAAACAGACTCTTCAGGTTTTTGTGATGCAGTCCTTTGCGTACACTGATAAGGGAGCATCCACTCTGGGCCTGCCTGCTTCGTGTTAAATACACCTGCCACAGAGAGGACTCTTAGTCCCTTAACAGACTCTTAAGCCTTTTGTTGTAAAAGGGCATTTGTAAACTGATTATGGGTCCAGTCAGTGGAAAAACTGGGAGGGGGTGTATGGTAGGAAGGTTTGGTTGCGTGGGACAGCTTTGCACTTTACAGGACTACAACCCCCTGAATGCAATGCTGAAAGAGTGATGCCCTGGAAGCGACGAGTGTCACGCATCAAATAAAAGGTGAAGATGGAGCAATGACGGGAATCCAGCAGGTCAGACCAACTCTATTTCATATGTTTTCCTGTTTTTCCATTTACTTCTTTCTGACATAAAATGAGTTGAATTTGTGCTTCTTATTTTATGCCCTATGGTTGTTGTTGCTGCTGCTGATGATGATAATAATAATGGTGCTTCCTCCCCGGCGTCTTCCTGTGTCTGGGAGGGAATGGTTGTCTAAAACAAAAGAAATGTGACAACCATGGTGTGAGCTGCTGAATGCTGCTTTCAGGACCTAGAGATGATTTGTTTGTTTATTTATTCCTGAGAGCAAGGTGGGTTCCCTATCCACAACCATAACCACACTCTTAATTCGGCCTTTGTTCAGGACAGTTAAAAGCACTGTCCACACCAACATTCCTAGTCCTTAATTGTGGCCATACTGTCCACTCCCTTGCCCTTCTGTCCCAGGGTATCAAGCTACACAGCAAGTATGTAGACCAGTGGTTGAGACTTGTGCCTTCTATCTCTGTTGTCCCACTTTCTAGAGAGCACAGGCGGTATTTCTATGTGAAGGACCGGACCGGTGCCTCCCAGTGGGATTTTCCAACAGAGGATGACAAGGAGGAGGACCTGAAAGATGGCCAGGGTACTCAGACACAGACTTCAAGCCAGGTGGATACCAAAACAAGTGCATCAGGTGTCACAGGTAAATCTGTTATTACTGCTGCTGATCTTAGACTAGGAGAAAATTACTGGGGAGTGGAAAGGAAAATAATTGCAATAAAGTCTGTTCAATACATATTTCTTTGCTGTAATTGCATAATAATGTTAATCTCCCTTTTTTTTATTGTTTTATTTTTAAACAAAGGATCTACATGTCCTCCTACTGCCCCGCCACCGCTACCTCCTCAGCCCAATCCATCATCCTTCTGGTCCCCATCCCAACCTCCACTTCCTGACAGCCCTCCTCCACCATCCAACTACCCCCCACCTCCACCACTCCCCCCAGGCTCACCACCTCCCCCACCTCCCCCTCCTGACAGTGATGGAGAGATCATGGAGGTGGAGATGGAGATGGATGATGACAATGATGAAGAGCCTCCAGCTCCTGGAACTGAGGAAGATGGCAGTGGGAAGCCTCCTTTGCCACCAGGCTCTGCTAGCGCGAAGGTGTGGAAGTAGTTATGATTCTAATTACATTAGTGTTTTCATTTTTTCAGAAGAACAGTAGCCATCAGCTTTAGCTTTATATTGTATTTGTTGTCATTTACACAGGCTGTCGAGTCATCGGGTCCCCTGGGAAAGGGTCAAAAACGTAAAGCTGGTCAGATGAATAAAACCATTACAATTGGCAGCAGTCCCATTCTGTACACCCAGCCAGCTGCCAGTGCAGGTAAAAAAAAAAAAAAAAGCTTCACTACACGTCCATCATAATGAAAACAAAAGGCAAAGCTACACTGAATAAGGGACAGTACATGTACACAATTGGTTAATTTAATATGTTTTTAAAGTAGCAATAAAGTTTCTCCTTGTCTGCAGCCCCTCTAATGTCAGCAACTGCCTACTGGGGTATGCCGGCCGTCCCTGCCCCTTTGGTACCTTGTGAACCTCCAGCTCCACCTGTCCCAGTTCTGCCTCCACAACCACCGCTGCCACCATCTCAGCCACCCTTTGAACCTACTGGGGCAAAAACTCTGCCCACAGACAAGAGCAAGAAAACCAAAAAGGATAAGGTTAGTATTGGAGTTAAAATCAGCTGACCAAGAAGTCTTTCATTCCGGAGTGTTCATCGTGGTTTGTCTTTTGTTAAAGACTAATTGTTCTCAAAAAAAATTCCTTTCCATGAAGCCGTCCCTTTGATGCAATACTTAACCCTTTAAAACCGGTCAGAGCGGGCACGCTCCGTTTTGCGTAACTATTTTTAAATCCCGGTAGC